ACGTGGTTTCATCTAGCGCAGCCAAGGCTGTGAAGCGGAAATCGGAGCCGGTTTCGCGTGGCGGAAAATGGCGCTTGGACCGATTTTTGCGCGCCGACCAAGCGGCGTGGTTGTACGGCTGCTTGGGCGGCGAAACGAGCCAGTTTCCGGAGGGTTTCGCCGGTTTCGCTCTCTTCGAGGCCAAGTGTGAACGCGCCTTTATAGTCACGGGAGACTTCAACGTTGACGTCAGCGGAGGAGAAGGAGAATGGCTCATCGATTACATGCGTGACGTGCACTCGCTGGAGTGCGTTTCGGCAGGACGGAAACTACGATAAGGGGAACGTGCATCGATTTGGTCTTCGCCAACATCGACGTCGAATGTCTGCGGGAACCTCTCAGCATGCACTTCACCGATCACAAGGCCGAGGTAGTCAAGGTGAAACGCGCGCCAGCTCCGGTCCAGCGCCCGTGTTCACTCTGAAGAAAAAAACAAACAAGACCTACACCAGCCATCGCTTCAAACGAATCTTCCAGTGCTCACTGCAGCACCCGTGTTAGTACCGTTCAAAACCATCACGCCACCCCTGCGCAACACTGCTGCTTCGCATCCATCAAGGTTCCATTTGGGAAGATGTCGTTAGTTTTTGTATTTGTTGATATAGCTGCTTCTTCGTTCGCTTAGTGAAATGTCTAGTCCAGATGACGTTGCTGTGATTGCTTGATAAGAATCTTTCTGCTTGTGATTGATTGATTTGTGGGGTTTAACGTCCCAAAACCACCATATGATTATGAGAGACGCCGTAGTGGAGGACTCCGGAAATTTCGACCACCTGGGGTTCTTTAACGTGCACCCAAATCTGAGCACACGGGCCTACAACATTTCTGCCTCCGTTATTTCTGCCTGTGTTCAAATATTTCTGCCGCAAAAAAGGATGAGAAAAGAAGAGGTCATCAGGTAAGTGCGGGTAAGTTGCCACAAAACAATGTTGCCGAGTGCTATTCATTCTTCACATTGATAAATTTTCAGTCGAACTTATACATTGTAAAACTATGTATAATATCGTATCGTGACTGCATAACACTCGTGCAACATTCATGCATCAATATGGGCCTGAACAATCGAAGGGAATTTGGGCCTCCGTCCATTGTATTGCAACACCTGTAGCCCAATTGCCTCGGTACGCAATACTCAATGTACAGCTGTACACCGGAATAAAGCTATCTGAATCTGAATAAGTTTATTTTTGATAGCTAGATAGATATAGAATCTGAAACAGATATGGAAGAGACGCTATTTGTTCAGCCATTTATGTAGAAAGCATGCATGGCTCAGTGTCGTTCCGCAAGCGCCTGCACGAGTGTGTGCTTGAAGCTACGATAGCGGCTTCTTTCATCGCCTTCGATAGCTTTGCTACAGGTGATATCCTAGGCATCCTTCAGCACACACGTGGTGAACGTTATTATGGATCGTCAGGATGCCGGGCGTGCGAACGCATGGTAAAGAGGGGCAGCATATGTAGGCGATATCTGTCATAGACATTGCTTGCGCGAGACGTCACAGATGCAGCTTCTTGAGGTGCACGCACTACAACCGGGCGGTTACGATATACGTCAAGGCAGAATAATTCCGTTGCCGTTCAGCTGCTTCAATTTAAAATGACGTGGGCGATACGTGATTGACATCCGTGTTAAAAATTACACGATGAAGTCCACCTGCTGTATCAACGCGTTGACTAGTTAAGACGAACGCCTTTTCTAACTTGCCCAAATCACCATCTTGTTCCATTATGGACATGTGTGCGTAAGTAACCCGGGGAATCATGGGTATGAAGTCATAAGTGCTTCATACCCATGACTTCATTACTTGTGCTATGAAAAGTTAGCTGGAGGGGGAGGATGAAGCATCATTGCGAAAAGGTGGCCTCAGTGGTGTGGATTCCATGCACATAGGTGTCAACCAGGAGCTCTTGGGCCCTGGTGGCGTTTTCGGCCCGTAGGTTCACCCAGAGCTGTTCCTCTGGATCTCTGCTGATCAGCATGGTCTCCCACTGCTCATCATTAGTATGTGAGGTATACGTGCGCCCTTCTCTAACATAAGTTGCACCTGCCGGTGTACTGGCCTGAGGGCCTCGGTGTACTGGCCTAAGCGGGTACTGCCCTTGTGTACTGGGCTTGGTGGGACTGTCGGTGTACTGGCCTAGGCTGTAGGTCACCGGGCGAGGGAGTTCTTCCAAGAACGCGAGAGCTGTTTAAATTATCGGTGGTTCCGGAATTCACCAAGCGTAATTAGGCATGTCCACAGAACTCTTTTTAGGGGGGGGGGTCATGGGGGGATGCACTTTTAAACTGCCGAGACATGAGCTGCAAGATTATTAAATATTGTGTAACAGGCGTGCGAAATTGGCTGGCAATGCTGAAGGCCGTATCACGAAGATATGTCAACCTTGAGCGTGCTAACCAACATGTACGTGTAGCTTATTTCATACTGCATATGAAACTATCCGAAACTCGGGGAAGGGGGAGAAGCCCCCACTTCACGAACCTCTGTCCGGACACCCATGCGACATAATTATCAGCATAAAGTATGGCTGTCAGCGTTGTTTTGGGGTCTCTACGATGGCATACTCTGCAGTGGCATTCAAACAATGCATGGTTCACGAATGTTGTCTGCACGCAATGATTTTAATTTTATAGTCTTGAACAGGCCCAGTTAAACGTACACACTCAGCCATCTTCAGTGCCGTGTGTCTCAGCTTGCGCATGTGGCGATGCGGTCGTGATCGAGGGGAGAAAGAAACAGCGTCTACTGTTACGTAGAGGGGAGCAGTATTGCTAGATCAGCAAGCTTATTCGTACACACTGATAGTTGGAGGGGGCTATCTCTTACTGATCTCTTACTCTTGGTAAAAGGCGGCCGTTGAAAGATTTCAACAGCAGGACTAAATTCAGAGATATCGTGACATGTTCTGCGCAGAACCCATAATAAAACGAAAGGTGTGGTTCGTGTAGATTAGGGAGTCGTTCGAAGAAAGCCTGAAGATACTGTCTTTAATCATTCTGGTGCTCAACCTGCACTTCTGCGAAGCATCAGCTTTATTTCCCAACTTGTAACATATTCTTGAACAAGGTCTTTCGCTCACCCACGCGCATAAACGTCCAACGGGTAAGAATGATCTGAGTCGACGGACAGTGTCTTATGTCGTAGCGACGACTTCTCTGCCCTGCGATTTTACGTATTTTTACATACTTGGGCCCAAATGCATGTGGTCACTGCCACGGCGATGAAAAAGGGTGGAGGATGACTAAGAGGACGCTTAAAGAAAAGTATGCAAAAATATAGGCGGAAGCACTGCGCAATGAGAGAGAAAGGGTGTTTCAGGTGCACCAACGTGGAAGAGGAGGAGGAATAAATGAGAAAGGACAGGGAGGCTAGCCAGTTTTAAGACCGGCTGGCTACACTGTACTAGGGAAGGGAGTAATGGGGGATAAAGGATGAGAGAAAAGAGACGTTGTAAAAAAAAGGAGAGAGAAGGTCATCAGACGATCCACGACGCTGTTTACAGTCTGTCTCTAAGACCACTTGCCCGCAGAAAGCGCAACAACGCTCTCAATGCCTTGCGTGCAGAGGACGGTCTCGGCCAGTGTCCTAATACCCTTTCTTCCGACAATTGGCGATTCCACCAACGTGGAACTTCATTAGGGGCGAAGCATGCAGCAGTCGCTGGTGTTCCTAGCAAAATTCTTTAGTGCTGCTCTCGCCCCGATACACTTACATAGCATCAATTCTTAGATATGTTTAAGTGTTATCAAATAAATGACTTCACCGTAGAGATGTACCTTCGTGTATCTGGTTTTATATATGAAACTTTAGCATCCAGATAAATTTCGTCGGGGATTTTGGCCCAAACTTAAACGTTGTAGGTTTTAAGTATGAACCTTCAACTCATGGCATGCATGGTATAGCCTGGGGGCTCGTAGCTGGGTTTACTTAATTTCTGTGGCAAACACCCGTTTACGACGCACCATGACGACGACATGCAACGCCGGCAAACAGACCCTAAAGTCCTAAGTCCGAAAAAACTGGACCGAGAAGTGCAATAAGTCAGTAGTGCCGTCCCGTACAATGTGAGCCTTACAATGAGACCACAAAGGGAAGACGGGGTGTCTCCCCGTTTAAACGTCTACGGCGACCACCCAAGGTGAATGGCTATGCGCAAAGTTACGTACCCTAACTTGTAAGGCGGTCTAACGTGTCATCCGTTTATCTTCACTTGCGACAATTTCCTCTCGGCTAACCTCTTGAAAGTACGACTCCGCACAGCTTAACCTCAACTATTGGTGCTTCTAAACGCTGATGAATCCTGGTATATCCAGGCGTTGCACACGAAACTTCAGCGGAATCGGCTAGCAAGTTGTCGAGTGCCGCATTGAAGCACTGTTCAGAGCATTGCTGTTGCATGTATAAAGTGATGCTTTTTTTCTACTTCTGTTGGTGTGTTAATTTTGTTTCCTCATTTCTCTATTTGCACGAGCACACGTAACCATTTGTCCCCCCCCTCCCCCATGCAATTATACCTTCAGCCACTGCAGGTACTCACACCTTGTATTGACCAAAAGATCTACAGTCGGAATCCCTATGGCTTCCGCGGCGGCACGTTCCCAGGCCACGAGGGCTCTTTGACCCTCTAAGGCCGAGCAGCCGAGCAGGGCAGCCTCTCAGCTCTCTCGGGTAGGGGGTGAAAGGCAAGTGATTGGTGGGGCGACCGGGTTAGTTGAGCATGCCCACACCACGGGGAAAGTATCCGCAGAGAGGAGCAAGACGAGCGCGTAAAAGTATGAACCCTCTAGCCCAACAACAAGTCTTTCTGAGGTACTTGAACCCAATTAATTCAATCATGCTTGCGACAACACCAATTCGCCTCCTTTATGAGGGCTCCTGAACGAAAGTTATAAAAAAGAAACATATAGTTACGAAAAGAAAAAAAAAACACACTGATAGACCGCTAGCGTGGCGACGGTCACGCGGTGCATCTCTGCTTCGGGTGCATGGGTGTTCCGGGGGCGCACCGAAACGCGTCGGAAAAGGACCCAAAGTCCGCCAGTTGCCGGTTGAGTCTAAACTTGATGGGCGCCCACGACGCCCTCTGGAGCACGTCGGCGACGTCCTCGTGGGGCTCGCAGAAGGACTGCGCGTACATGAGGAAGAAGAGCTGCTCGGAGCTGACGTTCGGCACCTCCGGGAAGTGGAGGGACACGTCGCGCATCTGGTAGCCACGCTCCTTTTGGGGCGAGTAGGTCACCACGGCCGTCCTGTAAACCACGGTAGGTGCGGGGTCGTCGTATGGAAGTATAAACGGCCGTTCTCAAAATTACATGATTGGGCAAGTCGGCGATTTGCGCTACTTAAAGTATAAGTGCGTTAACAACGCAATGATGCGAAAGAAAATTACATATGACCCCCCCCCTCCCCCAAGGGCTTTAAGCAGCTTGCTGGGCTAGTTGGAATACTTAACTTGAGTGCATTCTCTATCACATTGGCGAAGTATGAAAAAAAGCAACAACACACGCTAACACGTAAACGAAAATGGACAGTAAGAACGATGTCCCACTGCTTCTTACTTTGCCTTTTACGTTGAAGCTCCAACTGCCAATGGTTTCGCCTCCATGGGCAGGACAATGCGCGAGATAAAACAAAACTCCAAGCTCTTACACCACAAGAAGACGTTCACGCTCCCGTACTCCTCTGCTAACAAATGCACCCGCTTCTTTGACTTCCACCTCGAACGTTGAGGAAGGACATTTGGAGAATTTTTGTTAAGAAACAGGCAGATAATGACTGTAGACTCGTGCACTACTGCAATGCCACAACTAAATTTTGACCTCTGGGTGGTTTAAGGGCCATGCAGGTAACAAACAATTGAAGCAAGCATCATATCGTGCCCTGAAATCAGGCATACAGCACGAAGTTCAGTGCTCGTTTCAACAGAGAAAACCACAAAACAAGCATCAAAAACACATTATGGATGATAAGGCATCTGTGATCAATGGAAATACCTTCTCACGTGTTCCTGGTATACGTTTGGTTATTTACCGTTTTCATATATATATATATATATATATATATATATATATATATATATATATATATATATATATATATATATATATATATATATATATATGACATATGAAGTGATGGTTTGTGTGACGCCATGATGAGTGAAAGACGTGGCCTGGCTCACACGCCATGTTTTTATTCCATTCTCACTTCTTCATTCTCGGCTTCTACTTCTAACTCCTAACCATTGCTACCTTCTTATGTTATATATATATATATATATATATATATATATATATATATATATATATATATATATATATATATATATATATATATATATATATATTGTTGCGGGTTCGCGGCTATGCAGCTATGCGGGCGGTGCGAAGAAGAAGACGACGACGTTTTTGGGCTGTTCGAAATACACAACGGCTGCCATCTTGACTGCTGGAGTACTTTTCTACTCTAAAGTAGTAAATACATTCGCAACATTTTGGTGGTGGCGCTGGGTACGACGCAAGACGGAACTTCGAAGCGGACGTGTTCTCGACTGCCCGACCATGGCAACAGAAACCAATTCTGCCGCTCCTGTTTCAGCCGCGACTCCGGCGCAGCCTGTACAGCCGGTCGTATTGACGCAACCGCGCGACCCTGGCAACTTCTGCGGCACCGACCATGTTGACGTTGACGACTGGATTCCGAAGTTCGAGCGGTTTGCAGCAGTGTACCGGTGGGACCCTACGATGATGCTCGCCAACGTTGGCTTCTATCTCTGCGGAACAGCTGGCGCGTGGTTCGAGGCTCATGAAGCGGACATAACCAGCTGGGATACTTGCAAACAGAAGCTTCGTGACCTGTTTGGTAAGGCCGTCGGACGCCAGCGGGCCGCTTCTAAAGAACTCTCTGGTCGGGCACAAACTACGACCGAATCATATGTCACCTACATCCTTGACGTTCTCGCCCTTTGCCATCGTGCCGACCCCAACATGTCCGAGGAAGACAAAGTAAGCCATTTACTTAAAGGCATTGCAGATGATGCTTTTAACATACTGGTTTCCAAAGACTGTTCCACCATTGATGACATCATCAAAGAGTGCCGCCGATTCGAAGAGCTGAAGAGTCGCCGGGTCGCCAAGAATTTCTTGCGACTTCCGAACACGGCCGCTACGTCATCTTGCGAGGACCTTCAGCCGCCATGCAGTCAACCACATAACAACGAAAGTGTGGTTCGCATCGTTCGTAGAGAAATCGAGGCCGCGTCTCCGTCTTTTCTGACCCGCCCATCTGATGATCGACCAACGATCTCGTTGATCCAACAGGTCGTGAGAGAGGAGCTGGCAAACGTTGGGCTGCAGCCTGTGTGTTCGTTGACGGAACCTCGGGTCAGTACCATAGCGCCTTCTCCTGCACCAGAAAGATTCCGCCGCTATCGTGATCCTGCTCAGTGGAGGACACAGGACGACAAGCCTATATGTTTTCATTGTCATGGTGTAGGACACATCTCCCGCTACTGTCGTTTCCGCACGTATCCACCTCGGTCGTTTCCTGGCTATCGACGTGACGACAACCACCGGCCCCTGCAGTACAGCGCTCGTGACGATGGACCGTACAATGGCACTCCTGCGACACCAGTCCGCCGGTCCAGCCGTTCGCCGTCCCCGCATGACCGTCGCTCCAGGTCACCTCAGCACCGCCGCTATTCGTCGCCCCACCCTAGTGGACGCCCTTCTTCGGAAAACTGAGCAATGCAGCTCCCGGAGGTGACGCTGCATTGGACTCCCGACCTGAAAACCCTCTGCTGACCTTGACTACGGACAAGAACCTGCTTGATGTAGAAGTGGATGGCCTTCCTGTTACTGCCCTTATTGACACCGGCGCACATATTTCAATTCTGAGCTCTGACCTCCGTGCACGATTAAACAAGGTCCTTACGCCGCCAGAGTCCCTATTTGTACGTGTCGCTAGTGGAGCGACCCCGGCTGTGCTCGGAATGTGCACCGCGCGTGTGAGATTCGCCGACCGCCAGACGTCCGTTCTATTCCATGTTCTCGCTCACTGTCCACATGACGTCATCCTTGGACTCGATTTTTTGTCCGACCACTCCGCTGTAATTGACTGCTCAGCCGGCGTCGTGCAACTTGACTTGCCTGCGGCCACCGAAGAGTCGAAGATGGTACAGAACAAGCTTTCGTGCGCTGAGTTTGTTCGCCTCCCACCCCAAGCCCTAACTTGTGTCACAGTTGAACCGTATCCCAGTGTTCCGGATGGGGATTACGTGGTCTTTCCCTCTCCCGGTGTTTTATTGGCCCGCAACGTTTCCTCCCCGTACACCATATTAACTGTCACAGCGAACAAGACGTGCCTTCCTCTTCTGAACTTCGGACTCAGCCCTCAAATCCTACCACAAGGCATTGTTCTCGCCACTCTTTCACCGTCACACGAGTGCCAGATCTCATCAGTGTCACGTGAACTGGCCACAGTCGCCTCGCCGAACCCGCATAGCACCGACGCAGCCAAATCTACACGGCTCAACAATGTAACTAAGATGATTGCCTCAGACCTCTTGCCGTCTCAGGTCAAAGACCTCACTGATCTTCTCACGAGCTATTCGGACATATTTGACTTTGACGGTAGGCCCATAAGTCAAACATCGCAAGTCAAACATCGCATTAATACCGGTGATGCACCATCAGAACGCCAAGTTATCCAACAGGAGGTGAATAAGATGCTCACAAAAGGCATCATAGAGCCCTCATCGAGTCCGTGGGCGTCCCCTGTAGTCTTAGTTAAAAGAAGGACAATACCTGGCGTTTCTGCGTGGACTATCGGCATTTAAACAAGGTCACCAAAAGGGATGTCTACCCGCTTCCTCGTATTGATGATGCCCTGGACTGCCTTCATGGCGCAACCTATTTTTCTTCGATAGACTTACGCTCCGGTTACTGGCAGATCGCCGTGGACGACCTCGACCGGGAGAAGACCGCCTTTGTAACGCCTGACGGTCTCTACCAATTCAAGGTAATGCCGTTTGGCTTGTGCAATGCGCCGGCAACGTTCGAGCGGATGATGGACACGCTTTTGCGCAGCTTTAAATGGTCTATCTGCCTGTGTTATCTGGACGACGTGATTGTGTTTGCCCCAACCTTTAAGTCTCACCTCGAGCGCCTTTCCTCAATTCTTTCAGTATTTCGAGAGGCTGGGCTCCAACTTAATTCCTCGAAATGCCATTTTGGGCATCGCCAAGTTACTATTCTAGGGCATCTCGTTGACTCCTCCGGCATCCGCCCCGATCCCGACAAAGTCCGAGCTGTCCTGGATTTTCCTGTACCGACTTGTGTCAAGGACGTTCGAAGTTTTGTGGGCCTATGCTCATATTTCCGACGATTTGTCAGAAACTTCGCAGAGGTCGCACGCCCCCTCACTGATCTTTTGAAGAAAGATGTACCATTTGAGTGGGGTCCTGATCAAGGCACGGCCTTTTCCCAGCTCATAACACTTCTGACCACGCCACCGATTCTCGCCCACTTCGACCCGTCTGCTCCAACCGAGGTCCGCACTGATGCTAGTGGCTACGGTATTGGCGCGGTTTTAGCCCAGCGTCAATCCGGTCACGATCGAGTTCTTGCGTATGCCAGCCGGCTCCTTTCTCCTGCCGAACGCAATACTCTATTACGGAACGCGAGTGCCTGGCGCTTGTATGGGCAGTTGGTAAATTCCGCCCCTATTATATGGCCGGCCTTTCACAGTTACCACTGACCATCACGCTCTATGCTGGCTTTCAGCCCTCAAAGATCCAACGGGGCGCCTTGCTCGTTGGGCTCTGCGCCTCCAGGAATTCACATACACAGTGGTTTACAAGTCTGGCCGTTTACACCAAGACGCCGACTGCCTCTCTCGGTACCCCGTTGACGCTCCAGATCTAGTAACCGACGACGCGTCCATCTGTATTTCCTCGCTCTCTGCTTTCGGCAACATGGGATGTGAGCAACGGCGTGACGCGTCCCTACGCGAGCTAATCGACCGCCTGAACACAGGCTGTACAGACAGTTCGCTTCGCATGTTCGTTGTCATAGACGGCATTTTATACCGCCGCAACATGCACCATGTGGGAAACGAACTACTACTCGTAATACCCACTCATTTGCACTCGACCGTACTTCAGCAACTACATGATGTACCAACGGCTGGCCACCTTGGTGTTGCCAGAACGTACGACCGTGTCCGCCGACGCTTTTTCTGGCCCGGCCTCTACCGTTCCGTACAACGTTATGTTAGGTCTTGTGAGTCGTGCCAACGCCGCAAAAGGCCAGCGGTACACCCCGCCGGGCTCCTTCAACCGATCGACGTACCTGCCGAGCCTTTCTATCGTGTCGGCCTCGACCTGCTGGGCCCTTTCCCTCTTTCTACCGACGGTAACAGGTGGGTCGCCGTCGCCATAGATTACTCGACCCGTTTCGCAATTACGAGACCTCTTCCAAGCAGCTGCGCTACAGATGTCGCCGACTTTTTGATTCAAGACGTCATCTTACATCATGGTGCTCCTCGTCAACTGGTCACCGATCGCGGTCGCTACTTTTTATCTAAGGTAATTGACGATCTACTTCGTTCTTGTGCAACCAAGCACAAGCTTACGACGGCCTACCATCCTCAAACAAACGGCCTCACAGAACGTCTGAATCGCACACTCACTGACATGCTCGCCATGTACGTGTCGACGGATCATCGTGACTGGGACATTGCGCTACCCTTTGTCACTTTCGCTTACAATAGCTCACGCCACGACACTGCTGGATATTCTCCCTTTTACCTTTTGTATGGAAGAGACCCGACATTGCCGTTCGACACGCTTGTACCCAACCCTACCGACCTGTCCACAGCATATGCTCGCCGCGCTATTAGCACCGCGGAGAAAGCCCGTCAGATTGCCCACCAGCGCCTTTCGGACTCGCAGCTCCGTCAGAAACGTAGCTATGACAGCCACCATCGGGACGTCCACTTTAGTCCAGGTGACCTCGTTCTTCTGTGGACTCCGTCGCGACATGTTGGTCTGGCTGAAAAGCTTCTACCCAAGTATTCCGGACCTTATCGTGTGCTACGGCAGGTAACTGATGTTACCTATGAAATAGCACCTCTAAACCCTTCGATACCTTCCACATCTTCCGACATCGTCCACGTCGCTCGCCTCAAGCCGTACATCTCGTCCAACACCTGCTAACAAGCGCCGGGTCGGCGCTTTTCGCCGCCGGAGGTCGATGTTGCGGGTTCGCGGCTATGCAGCTATGCGGGCGGTGCGAAGAAGAAGACGACGACGTTTTTGGGCTGTTCGAAATACACAACGGCTGCCATCTTGACTGCTGGAGTACTTTTCTACTCTAAAGTAGTAAATACATTCGCAACAATATATATATATATATATATATATATATATATATATATATATATATTGTGGGAGTAATAATTCAATGGGCCAGTTAGTCTTCATGAAGGAATGGGTTATGGCACAACGGAAGCGTTGTCAACAAGGATAAATATATTTATTTCCCAACAGTTTCGGGAGGGGTCCTCCCTTCCCGAACGAGCAAACGAGAAGAAGCGAACGAGCAAACGAAAAACGATGCTTTATTGCCAACGTTACGGCCGGGGACCTCCCTCTCGCGTATGCCCTGACGTATGCCCTGACGTATGCCCTGACGAAAGCCGTCGTCCCCCGGTCGTAACGCTGGCAGTAAAGCATCGTTTTTCGTTTTCTCGTTCTCTTCTTCTGGTGACTTAATAATATATATATATATATATATATATATATATATATATATATATATATATATATATATATATATATATATATATATATATATTGAAGATTCATGTAGTAACTCGTTCAGTTCGTTGTAAGACTATGAGGAATAGATCGCGAAAATTAAAGACACCAGAACAGGTTTAAGGTGGTCTGCCACACACGTCGTCATTTCAGTACAGTTGCCGTACGCCACGGTGCTTCCTTCAGTCACGTCACAAACAGGATTGATTAGGTTCTTTGCTTGAGGCGCCGAAGAGTTCATCCCTGCAGTAGCTGCGTCAAATGCGCCAAACTGTGCCAATTAGGGAAACCTGCTACATCCTGGTATAGTTTAGTAAAAATCTCATAATTGACGCCAATCCGTGTGTCGAGACGACATTTCATAGTGACCTTTCGGGCAAGAAACCATAATTTTATATGAGCAAGGTTTTCTTGCAGTAGTCTACTATTCGTCTATGATTGGCTGCAACTTAGGAAGACAGGAAAGGCGCAGCACAGGTGCAAGCAATAGTCCTCGAATCAAGCAATAATCCCGCTCATGTTCATGACTGTGCTCTATCGCGTGAGCGTCACCGTCAGTCCTGCTGGGGACGTAAGTGTACAGCGTGAGCTCATTGGGGCAGGCTAGTGTACATCGGCTTTTACGTACCATCGGCTTGCTGAATTAGATAATAGTACCCGACATTTAATGCAATCTTTTCAGCGCTAGTTTTAGATTCTAAGTGTTCTTCCTAAAAGGCACAGACATCCGCAGGGTTTCCCTTAAGTCACGTGCTTTTGCAGAGGGCTTGTGGGATTCGGTGGTCAAGCCGACGTCTCGTGTTGTCTGGATCACCACTCGTATGGCCGCGTTGTTGATAGCGGGCTGAAGTTCCGAATGTGCATTTTTTATGCAGCTGTTGCACTTCGAAGATAATGTAATGTGTCAAGAGCCTACAGTGAGCGTCGGTCTTCGCGGTTGTGAGTTTAGTTTATGTCACTTGGTCGAAAGCGGTTGTTTTTGAAGCTCGCGACCACATCTCCCATAATGATGGGTGCCGCAGATTGTCGTTTTCTTTCGACACTGTGCTGTTGCATACCTAGCGGAGGAATCCTAGAATTTTCAAGACGAGAACGGCAGCGTCTACTGCTCCTAATGCGAGAGGCGGCGGTGAGACATTTTCGTGTGCGGCGGTCGGAACAGTCGGAAAGCAGTACGCGGCCCACTGTTCCCACCAGAGCTTGCAGAGTCAAGAATTAGACGTGCCTGGTACAATAAGCTGGTTTATTATTAATTATCGCTTACTGTTTACGCTTTGCGCGCGTTAACTTCATATTTCGCCAGGTCAGTTTTTCTCGATATGACCACAGTCGTCTGAACCGTGCTGCTGCAAACGATACTCGTGCATATGTAGGCATCTCGACAAACATGGCCAATGAATGATTCGGAGGTGCTTCATCTGGCTAAACAGCAAGACTAAATAAGTAACACTTCATTCTTACATTACGTTCCGTATCCCGACCTTACCGTATCTTCAGAAAAAAGAAAACATCCTGTCGTGGCAATTATTCGACAGATTCGCACCGTTTCTCTCTTGCATTCAGCGGAATAAACACAAAGTGCAACGCTGCAAGTTTATTGTAGATTCACAATATGAGCCGTAGCGAGACTACGAATGGTACACAGGCACACCACAAGCGAGTATCGCGGCAAGTGTTCGCATAATCAGCAATAAAGTTTCGATTTTACAGCTTCTCAGTGCCACCCGGCGCGTCCAAAATCGGTTTCCGCGGCTTGCCTTCCTCTTGTTGGCGCCAGCTGCGCGTACGCGTGCCGCAGAAGCGTGAACATCCTTGGGAGGAGCAGTCCCCTACTCTGCCCTTACTTCCGGCTTAAAAAAATGGGACGTAATGCCCTGTCTTCAGTATATTCCTTCCTCCATGGCTTGGGTGGAGGCCAAGTGTTGGTGCCTCCTCGGAGGATACGAAGGGGAGGGGTGAAAGCCCTTTCAAGAGCGCAGCAATTTAGAGGCCCGGCTCATCATCCATTCACTGGTCTCGATGTCACATGGTCACGCCGTTGTCAATACAGACCTGCGACTTAGCTAGCAGTGCTCAAAACTATTTCGAATCAAGCTAACCGATCCTAAAACGGAAACCTCACACAAAAAAACCAAGAAATAATCGCAACAGTTTACCAAAAATCGCGAAAAACGCTCCGGAGACATGAGGCTGGTACCTGCACCGTGATAGAGAGGGCGCCACCACCCCGCGCGTTTGCCGAGGAAATCGCTAGGTTGGCCGAGCTACGCACTCCCTCGATTTCCAAGGTAGTTGAGGTGCATTTAGGGCCGTATTTAGGACTACACCAAGACAGAAGGAAAGACACCATTATCGTGACATACACCACGGCCTACACAAGAATGACAGATCAGGATTTAACGCGGTACTAAGAGCTACACCAGGGCCAACACAGGACGGCATTGCCTGAGAATTTAACGCGAATTCAGAACTACTCCTAGGACCCACACGACAACGACATAAGCGCAATATTTAGCGCGGGATCTAGAGCTACAACAGGGCCTACACGCAAGAAATGCGTGTTTTGAGCACCCCCCTAACGACGCCCATGGCCAGGACAGGAAAGCAGTGCTCACTTGAAAGCCTTGTGCACCGCCCTCAGCACTACGTGGTCCATGATGCTGGTGCGTAGGCAGCGGAGGCCGTCGACGCTCTGCCCTTCGGAAACGGTAATGTTGCTGTAGGCACGCTGCAGGCAGACGCGTAGCTTCCGCAGTTCGCTGGACCACATGGCTCGCTCCTGCGAATGCGATGTTGAACAGGTGACCCATACGAGAACAAGTCGGTGAGCGACAATTACATCAATTATAAATTGAGCGCTAAAGATATCAATTTTTTAAATGACATGGTTATACCACCAACTGTATACTCACTCATAGATTCTTAACTATTATACATTGTTGATTCTTCTCTCCTTGACTGTTTACCATTTTAGGGGCGAAGCTCCCTATAGTTAAACCTTGTGACTAGTCACGCGTAACCGAGAGAAGAGACGAGAAAGAACAGAAAGAAAAAAAAATGGATGACCATTTCTCGTCTCATTTCCTAGATGGCGTTACTCTGCTGCTACTCTCCGAAGTGCCGCTACTCTCCCATTGGCTGCTGCGTGTGCTTTGCATACGAGTGCCTCTCTCAGTCTCCTGGATATTCGCCATACGTGGCGGATAGTTTGTGGAGCATGGACGGAGCAGAGTGGTGGGTGCGCTGAAGACGCTTGCAATCGGCTTCCTTGGCTCGCGTCTCGTCGGTGTTACCCGTGCGCCGTTCATGGTGCGCGAACGAGTGCTTCTCTCAGTCTCCTGGATAGTTTGCCTTACGTGGCGGGTCGTTGAAGATCCCGATTTACGAGCGCGGGAGTTTGAAGCCAGGCCACATAAGAAGCTGTACCTGGCGCCCAATGTTCCAATCGAAGATCTCAAAGGTTCATCGACCAGGACATGTGCATATACGACAGGTCGGGACCGTTCCTGCTCGTCAGCGACTTCAACGTCGACGTATCAGACCCAAAAAAAAAACTTTGGTTGATGCAATACATGACAAGCAGGAGCAGCTACGTACTCGGGTGCATCTCCTTCTATTACCCTGATTTCAAGATGACCATCAGGGGAACGTTCATCGACGTCGTGTTTGTAAACTTTCACGTAGCTTATGTGATTCTTGAAGAGAAAAGAAAAGTGAGCCGCGTAACTATTTGCATCAGAGTGCGACACCTTAATAGTAGCTCATGAGGGATGGGGGTAAGGAGGAATTAAAAGGATAGGATTAAAACTATAAAGATAGAGAGGGAGAAAAAGAGAGCGTGGCGCAGAGATAGCGACACTCAGAAGCAAGAAGATAGGAAAGATGGACATGGTCGCAGGAGTACGAGGACGGGGCACCACTCAACGAGAGCTCTGGTCGGCGGCAGGAGATGGCGTAGGGCGAGACAGAGCTGTGCTGTCGTCGGAGATCGCGGGGGCACAGGCGGTCGGCACGAAATACAGAGAGCGAGTCCAACCAGTGCAAGAACCGCTTTTGGTGCATTTCACCGACCATAAATAAGGTGATCCTAATTAAGGCAAAACGAAAACCGGAAGTAATAAATGACATTGTTTAATAAACATTATTCAATGGCATTTTACTTGCGAGTTGAATTCAAGGTGTGGGGCAAATTATCTTAAATAGCAAGAGCTTCACCTCACTCTTCATCATTCATCCTGTGAATATGCTGTCATTTTTTTTTCACCTAGCTAACTACAGCTTGTTATGTTTACTTATACGCGAATAGAATTTCCTTAATAAGAAGCAAGTGCCTTCAATGAAATGCATTGCTGCCGTTACTCACTTTGCACAGCTTTTGCAGGTGCATATGACAAAGGTTGACGGGAAATCGCTTGTTACCACAGAGAGTGACATGGTTTTGCAGTGTGTTTCAGACTGAGCGTGGCACGCAGCTGTTCGGGCAGGAGCTAACAGCCCCATAAGCGCTGCAATACTTTTTACATAGTCTCTCTATACTAACTCCAAGCATGGGCATTTCCAGCGACCGTTTATATTGGGGACGGCTCACTGCTCTCCCATAGTTGGGTAACAAGTACTCAAAATTGTTAAACCCTTTTTCTTCACGCACTTTGAAAAAAAATGGCATCATATCCACGGAGTGAATGATGGAGAGTGGGGCGAAGCATCCATCCGTCCATTCGTTCTTGCTTCCGTCCGTCCATGCGTCCGTCTGTGTGACCATTTGTGCGTGAGACTGTTCGTGCGTCCTCTCGTCCATCTGTGCGTCCGTCCCTGCGTTCATCCATGCATCCGCCCCTGCGTCCGTCCATGCGTTCATCCGTCCGTGCAGCCATCCGTGCGTCCGTCCATGCATCTGTCTGTGTGTCCGTTCGTCCATACAGTCAAAACTTCAAGTACCGCCACCTCGCATCTTTTCATCATATATTTTCCATATAGAAGCACCGCCATTTAGCGGACATTCAAAGGACTAAACGAGAGGTGGCACACGAACACTTTCTTGCGGCTCGCGCTTCGTATCTGCTTCCCACCTTTAACCACCTCGATTTCATGGTATATACTAGTTCACTGTATTCATGGCACTGCGGCCCAACGCTCGCTAAAACTTTCTAAAACCAAGGAGGTTACGCTTAGCGAGTATAACGTAGCAACCCTTTCTTGTCAGATAGTGCTCAATGTGCATGCCAATGGCTGCTAATGGGGAATGAGAGACAGGAGAATTCGGCTTTTAGTTAACGCGCACGCTGCGAATTTTTTATTGTTCAACAACGCACAGGAGAAATCTCCCACCGGCACCACCTTGCAGGTCAAAACGTAAGACTGGTTACATACTACGACTACTACTACGACTACTACGAGGGACGAACGGGTGCCACTTTAAGGAGCTTCGCCCCTAAATATCCCAGCATATCCACGGAGTGTATGATGATGAGTGGGGCGAAGCGTCTCTCCGTCCGTTTGTTCTTGTTACCGTCTGTCGATGCGTCCGTCCATCCAGGCGTCCATCCATCCGTGCATCTATCTGTCTGTCCATATTGTGAACACTCTAAGTACCATCATCTCGCATCTTTTCATCATATATTCAGCATATAGAAGTACCGCCATCCAGCGGACATTCCAAGGAATAGACGAGAGGTGGCTCACGCGCACTTTCTTACGGCCTGCGCTTCGTGTCTACATTCCACCTTTCACCGCCTCTAGTTCATGGCTATATACTAGTTCAATATATTCATGGCGCTGCGGCCTAACCCTCACTAAAGCTTGCTAAAAACCAAAGAGGTTGCGCCCTGCGAGTCTAACGCGGCAACCCTTTCTGGTCAGATAGGGCTCAAAGTGCGTCCTTCTGGTACTAGTGTTTTTTAGTAAGCATCGAATTCAAGACAAATCGTATTGGAGATTAAGTCACCAATACTCGTCTCTGTAAGTTATTTCATCAGAAAGAAATATCTTTTTTATGTTTATTTATGATTAACGTGCGCGCGTTTCCTCCGCAGTGTGTGGAATGAAGCGTATTTTAAAATGTGTGCTTCTGTTTGTATATGCCAAAAATGCATGTTCTGAATGTTCGATTATTTTGATTATGTAAAAGAAATATATTATGACATGCCAGTATCTTCTATCAATGAAATATGTAACCGATTTATACAGTTGTATGTTGCTGATGTGTAAATGTATATGTCACTGATGCAGACTGTTTTTTGGTTAATAGGGGGTGAGACCTCGTCAGGCTTTTAGCCTTTAGTCTTTGCCTCGCACAGGAAAAGAAAAATTCTCTATTTTTTCTCCTGCAAATAAACAATAAACAATAAAATAAACAATAATTGAAAAGGTTCCTGCCGTGGAGGTGGCTACCTACTACTACGGCGATTACATACATCGCGGACGCACGACCCACGGCATTGGGAGCTTCGCTCCTAAAATACCCCGCTTTACCCTACAGAACTCTTACTAAGGGCGAAGCTCGTTAGAGTGTGGGTATTTCCCTGCTATGTAGTAGTAGTAGCAGTAGCAACAACAGCAGCAGCAGTAGTAGTAGTAGCAGTATGTAGCCATTTGCAGTTAGTTTTAGGAAATCCTCACTGCCCCGCCGCGGTAGTCTAGTGGCTAAGGTACTCGGGCTGCTGACCTGCAGTTCGCGAGTTCGTATCCCGGCTGCAGCGGCTGCATTTCCGATGGAGGTGGAAACGCTGTAGGCCCATGTGCTCAGAATTGCGTGCACGTTAAAGAACCCCAGGTGGTCTAAATTTCCGGAGCCCTCCACTACGGCGTCTCTCATAATTATATGGTGGTTTTGTGACGTTAAACCCCACATATAAATCAAACCAGGAATTCCTAACTAGATAGCGTTGTGCGTATATGCCCTTGGAAGTATCACTAGAGGGCGTTAGAGGTTTTTGTACAGTTGTTGATTTCGTATAGTTGATAGATGGATGGACAGGACAAACAGACGAACCAATGACCGGGCCTGGTTTTTGAAGTTGAAGATTTGCATCATATGCTTGGCTTTAGAAGTTCTGCTGTTAAGATCACCACGTGATGACGTCGAATGATGGACGTCTTCAAATGACATTACTTCGTCAAAGGCAAGCCCGATCATGGAGGCCGTGCAAAACCAGGTTAGGTGCAGAAAGCTTGCAATGCCTCCTTATCCCGGAGGCATTGCATCGCCGGGGGCTGACGTGGTGGGATCCATACAGTTGGCTAAAAGAGAATAAAAAATACGGCTTTCGACTTCCCGTGGTCTTTAGCATGCATAAGGGACAGTGGAACAACACAAACACGTTTCCTAAAAAAAGTGATACGTTTTGTAAACCAAACCTGCATGCTTCTTTCGTCCATTAAGCTTACGTATTTGCGTTTTAGGGACGTCTTACTCTTGTCCCATTTCCGAGCACACATCTTTCAAGATTGTCTTTCCTTTTGAATCTCTTCAGCTCCCAAGAAACCAAGTGGGTACCTTGTTTGTTGATGAGAAGCGTGACAGTCTTCTTGCGCAGGCACGGCTAAGTATCGCTTCTGTCCGATCACCCACGTGTTTTAGTCCTTCCAGTCGCATTGTAAGACATCAAGGCACACTGCCCTTGCACCAGAGTCCGCGGGTGCTAACAAGCCAGCAAGCAAATAATCCTGATAAAAAGAGAAGGCTTGCACAAGGTTTATCTTAAGGGGGTGGTGAAGGCTCATCGCAGTGCCTCCACCTAGTCAGTCATATATGAGAGAGAAATTTCGCCCTTCCCATTTTAGATGACTCGCGTGGAGGCCTGCCCTCCCACCCCCACTCGTGCGCATGCCTACGAGGCCGGAGTGGTGCGACTCGCACATGCCTGGAATATCCTGTACAGAGACCGCGTCATGAGCAGTCCGACGGTGGGTATGTCCAGGAAGAACTCCCGGCCACCCACGTCCACGTCGGCGATGGACATCGGTATGCCCAGGGTCTTCGTGTCCGGGTTGAATCGGCACGCCAGGTCCAGGTTGGTGTCAAACACTCGACCACCCGATCCGACCACGTATTTCAGCCAGTGAGAGACCTGACGATGTCAATGGATTCATGGTATAAGTATGTCCATTGAATTGTCAGCCACCACGTTTAATTTATATTTGAGCCTAGGGCATTTGCATATATTCATTCAATATTTTTTTGAAAACTTGAAATTCATTGCTTCATTCTCAGCGCTTCGTGCTGGAGGAAAATGTATTTTCTAATTCGCTTTTGTTCTTTCACTTTAACTTTTTGCCACCAATCATCAAGTCGCACTTTGCTGATGTCTATTGCAGATGTTTTCATCTTACTATACGTAAGTATGCACCCCGGGAGAAGGGGGAGAGGGAGGCTAATATTCGTAGCGCGCGTCGTTGAGACTGCTCCATACTGTTATTCAGCTTGACCCAATGATAACGTTGGCTTGACCTGCCGTTTTGTTGTTTAAATAGCCGGCCTATGTCCACGCACGGGTTTCTCACAACGGCCACAGGTAGGCCGTTGCACTAAGCATGTCATCGCTGTAATTTTTTATTTTCTTTTTTGCATGAATCGCAAAACTTGTTCTATTTTGGACTCGACCGATGCAAAAAGTTGGTCGGGAGGGAGAGACGTGAAATGAAGTTACATCCTTCCCTTCCACCCAATGAGATACATTCTTGACCCTGCTGACCTTAATTCTTGCTCACAATCTCAACTGTGAACAAGCCTCCCACCAATAAGCCGATATGTTAGTACATTTGCTTTCTAAAATCATTTTGGTGGGTGCCCGCAATTTTCTTTTAGTATGTTTCATCCCGACCAAAAGGACTTCCGCCATACCCTGATTTCACCCTGAAACTGTTCTGCGGCTGCATTTTCCATAATAATACGAGCGTTTTTATTTCCATTGTATTTACGCATTGCAGTGAAGGCTTGTGGTCAGGTCGCAACCCAAGTCCGAGATACGTTGGGCGAGATCCTTGTAATACTGCCCGAAAGCAGCGTTTTCTCTCGCTGCCCGCGATGTGCATCACCCATGAAATAAACATCTATTTCATTCTGCTCTAAACATACATGTTAAAATAAAATATTAAACCGACGGCGGCTTTTGGACCTCACACTATACTCACTAGACTGTGCCGAATCTCCAGGTAGGTAGTCAGGATGTGTCGCCAGTTCACGGAGACGGACTGCGTCGGCGCGTAGTAGGCATCGACGTCGTCCATGGGGTTGAAGTATGACTTGTCGGCGTTGGCGATGCCATCCAGAACTTGCTCCCTCACGTCTTTTGGTATGTCCCCAGACTGGAGCATAGCCATGCTTGCACATAAAAAAGCAGACAGGTCGTGGTTAAGAAGAGACCGGTCCCTTCATTTGATGGATTATACAGTTAATTGAGAAGTAATGGATTATTGAGTGTTTTTTTATCTTGTGATCATTACTAGTCTTGTTCAATGCACCAATTAATTACTCATTTGAACATCGTTGTAAAAGTAGTGCGATGTGTAGTGATACATATAGAGCTATACGGGCCAGAACTGTGACATGGCGATGAGACACACTTCATAGCAGTGCTCCTGATTGTTTTTTTACTCTCTGGTGTTACTTGACGTTCACTGATGTGGCGTGGTACTAGGGCGTTCCGCATTTTAGCCTCCATCGAAATTATGCTACCACCAGCCACAATCGAACCCGCAACTCTCGGTTGAGCAGCCGACAGCCGTAAACCCTGTACCACCGAGGCGGAAGATGTATGTGAATGAATGAATGAATGAATGAATGAATGAATGAATGAATGGTCATGGCACGACCGCAACCTACCGGTACGAGTTCCGCACGACGGCCTCCTTGAGACCAGCCTTGGCAACCACGCTCATGCGCGCCGTGTCGTTGAAGTGCTTGACGAAGCCGAAGTTAAAGAGCCGGTACGTGAGCATCGCGCACGCCTGCTCGTGCTGCTCCTTGTCGCCGTCGAGTAGCCTCCAGAAGGGCCACAGGTGCAGGTGCAGCGAGTAGCTGAAGTAGGCCCGTACCGTCTCGGCTTTGACCTCTGCCATCACCTCTGCCACATGCTTCATGTACGAAGGGGACCTGCGGCCATTCCAAGGAGATAATACGCAATTATCGGGCACTGTAACAATGTCTCTCAATCAATCGGGCGCGTAGCCAGAAGCTGGGGGTTGTTTAATTACTCTTGGTGGACGTGTCCATGTGTGTTTGTTGGGGGATTGTAGGTATACTGATGCAAAACTTTCAGCTCCCCAACACCACCTCTGACTTCGCCAGGCTGGTCAAGTCCGGTTCGGTTCATTCAGTCAGGTGGTCAGTTAATCTGTCGGAAGTTTGTTTACTCTAGCCTGCCTTACTTAACATCACATCAGTATCAGAATGTTACCCTGTGTCTTCATTGAAGGGTGAGCTAGGATTTTGTTTTTTGGGTGTAAGGGTCTGGGCCCCCCTTATTCATGCTCGTGCGTGGGTTTGAATGCGTTGACCGATTGGGGGTTTAGTGTGTTCAGCCCTCCCTTCTAAGCTCCAAAAATTGTTTTGCTGGTGTATTTAATATATATATATATATATATATATATATATATATATATATATATATATATATATATATATATATATATATTGCAACGAGCTAGGTTGCGTGAAAACACAGGTTATTATTCCAGAAACGTTAGCCGCAACAAGCTGGTACAGGCAGGAACCCGGCAAGCACGAGCCACACACGGACGTCAACGTCTTCTTTCACGCTGGCACAGAGCTGGCGCCACTATGCTTCGGTACAATTACTCCCCGCGCAGAAAGGAGCCAACCTGGCGACCTAGGGAAAGGACACGACAAGGGGGTCATAGCATGGTTTTAGGCGTGATACGTGTACTGTTTCACGCCCACGGCAGCGTTGGTCCGAAGGTGGATCAATGGGCTCAACTTCATAGTTGACGGGAGATGTTTGCCGCACCACACGGTAGGGGCCATGGTATTTCGACGAAAGCTTCGGGGAAAGACCAGGAGGGGTAGACGGGACCCAGAGCCAAACCAGCATTCCTGGGTTACAGTGTACAGTAGACGCAGAGGAATCGTGGTCAGTTTTCTGGCGCCATTGGTCTTGTGCGGTAAATGAGCGAGCGAGTTGACGACACTCTTCGGCATAAGCAGCTGCTTCGGAAACAGGCGTCGCTTCGGAAACATCAGGCCTGTAAGGGAGAATGGTGTCCATGGAGCATGATGGCTCACGTCCGTACAGGAGGAAGAAAGGAGAAAAGCCAGTGGTTGTTTGTGGCGCAGAGTTGTACGCGTACGTGGCAAAAGGGAGCACTTGGTCCCAATTAGTGTGGTCGTCAGAGGCGTACATGGCAAGCATATCTCCAAGGGTACGGTTAAAGCGTTCCGTCATGCCATTTGTTTGAGGATGGTATGCCGAGGATTTCCGATGGACAGTGCGACATGCCTTGAGCAGCTCGTCGACAGCGTTCGAGAGAAATACGCGTCCACGGTCACTCAGTAATTCACGAGGCGCACCGTGTCGCAAAATGAGATGGTGAAGAAGAAAGGACGCAACGTCTTTCGCAGTGGTAGCAGGCAGCGCAGATGTTTCAGCGTAGCGGGACAAATGATCCACGGCGACGATAATCCACCGGTTGCCTCGAAGAGAGTTCGGTAGAGGACCATAAATATCAATTCCGACGCGGACGAATGGTCTCGCTGGGCAGGTTAAGGGTTGCAAAGGGCCAGCAGTGCTGTGAGAAGGCGTCTTGCGTCGTTGACACGTGGTGCATGACCGAACGTACTGGCGAACGTGCCGATACATGCCGCGCCAGTAGTATCTTAGACGAAGGCGAGAGTAAGTCTTAAATACTCCAGCGTGGCCACATTGGGGGTCATCGTGAAAGGCAGCACAGATGTCCGAACGCAAATGACGAGGGATGACAAGGAGCCACCTACGGCCGTCCGTCACGTAATTGCGGCGATACAACAAGCCTTCACGGACAGCAAAGTGTCTTGCTTGACGAGAGAGGGAGCGTGAAGTCGTTTCTGACGAACTGTGAGAGAGGACGTCGAGCAAAGAATTGATCCAGGGATGCTTGCGCTGTTCGGATGGCACGTCAGTGATGCTCAACGATGACGAATCGCAAATGGCACTTGATAAGCAGGCAAGGTCAGGAGGTAGTGGAGAACGGGATAGTGCATCGGCGTTTGAATGTCTGCGTCCTGAGCCATAAACAACACGGATATCGTATTCCTGAAGGCGTAAAGCCCAACGAGCGAGGCGGCCAGTAGGATCTTTCATGGACGCTAACCAGCATAAGGCATGGTGATCTGTGACAACATCAAACTGACGTCCGTAAAGGTAGGTGCGAAATTTTCCTATAGCCCAAATGATAGCCAAGCACTCCTTTTCCGTGACGGAATAGTTGGACTCTGCCTTCGTTAGTGTACGGCTGGCATAGGCGGCAACGTACTCGTCACAGCCATCCTTGCGTTGAGCGAGAATGGCACCGAGGCCGACACACCGCTTGCATCCGTGTGAATTTCAGTGGGTGCATTGGGATCGAAGTGGCGGAGAACTGGCGGAGACATGAGTAGCCGGCATAGCGCCGTGAATGTCTCATCGCAGTGGGAATTCCAGCCAGAGAGGTCCGCGCTACGGGAGAGAAGCTGAGTCAGAGGGGCAATTATAGAGGCAAAATTGCGAATGAAACGCCGAAAATAGGAACACAAGCCTACGAAACTACGAAGCTTCTTAAGGGTAGTAGGCTTGGGGTACTCGGCAACGGCACGCAGTTTGGCAGGGTCTGGCGATATTCCTTCTTTTGAAACGACGTGGCCGAGAATTGTGAGTTTGCGGGTGCCAAAACGACATTTCTTGAAGCTTAGTTGCAACCCGGCTGCCGTAAGGCACTGGAGAACTTGTTCCAGACGGGAAAGATGAGTTTCGAAATTAGCCGAGAATACAACTATGTCGTCTAAATAGCAAAGACAGATGTGCCATTTAAGTCCCCTGAGGACACTGTCCATCATTCTTTCAAAAGTCGCAGGCGCATTGCAAAGACCGAAGGGCACTACATTAAATTCATATAAGCCGTCAGGGGTCACAAACGCCGTTTTTGGACGGTCTGGTTCAGCCATTGGCACTTGCCAATATCCAGAGCGCAGGTCCAGTGAAGAGAAAAACTCCGCACCTTGAAGGCAATCCAAGGCGTCATCAATGCGTGGCAGGGGATAAACATCCTTGCGTGTGATGTTGTTTGATCGACGATAATCCACGCAAAACCTGATGGAGCCATCCTTTTTTCGCACGAGGACCACTGGCGAAGCCCAAGGACTGTATGAGTGCTGAATAACACCACGTTGCAGCATCTCGTCGACGTGTTGAGTGATGACGTCACGCTCAGCCTGCGAGACGCGGTAGGGGCGCTGACGAAGTGGAGTATGATGACCGGTGTCAATATGGTGAGCGACAACTGACGTGCGTCCCAAGGGATGTTGTCCGTGGTCGAAGGAGGCGCGGAAACGGTCAAGTAGTTGAATGAGCTGATTGCGCTGGTCTTGCGTAAGGCCGGTGTCTACGCTGCGCAACAGAACGTCTTCGTCAGGTAGTGAGGGCACGGTGCCAGCTGTGACAGCATCCACGGACATCGGTGTCGTATCAGAACGGGCATCGAAAGGAAAGATGTCATCATAAGTGTCAAGACTCCCAATGCATTCGCCATGCAATAAGGTAGCGGGACAAGGGAACGGATTGCCCACGTACACGGCGCTGGAGCCATCGGCAAGTGTTATGACGGCAAACGGGACGACAAGGTTCCGGCGACGAGCGCATTCTTGTGACGGCATAAATAGGGCAGTTGAATCGAAAACGGAGTTGCACAAAAGAGATACCGCGGCGACCGAAAAAGCAGAAATGACGACGTCAGCGGCGACGACCACCTTTTTGGGTGAGCGAGGGAGATCTATGAATGTCGTGCTGAATGGATACAAAACGAGTTGAGCACGAGCGCAGTCAACAACCGCATGATTAGCGGAAACAAAGTTCCATTCCAGGATGATTTCATGAGACGCATGCGGAAGGACGACAAATTCAACGATGTAAAGCACTCCTTGAATCACAACACGAGCAGTGCATGTGGCAGAAGGTTGGACGTGTTGCGAACTCGCTGTGCGTAAAGAAATTTCAACCAGTGGGGTCGTCACTTTGTTCAGTTTGCGGCATAACACTTCACTGATTATACAAATAGCGGCACCTGTGTCGACAAGAGCAGTTGTGGCGAAACCGTCCACAAACACGGCAATCTCGTTAGGGGGCGAAAGATAAGGCCTTGGAAATTTCGTCGGTGGCGCAGCTCTTGCCTCAGGAACTGCGACTGTTAGTTTTCCTCCTGGGCGTGGTTGGAACGGCGAAGCATGGGGGAAGGAGACCAAAGACGGGGGGAAGGAGATCGACGTCGGCTGAAGTCTGATCGACGTGAGCGGGGGTCATGTGAATCAGGTGTCACATGCGATTCTGATTGCCGAGGTACGTTGCCATAATGCTGCACATCATTAAAATAGAATCCACGGCGACGACAGTAGCGCGCAACATGTCCTGGGATACCACAGTTGTAGCAGACGGGCCGGTTATCCGGAGTACGCCAAGAGTTTACAGGTGCTCGAGGTGGTGGAAAGGGCCGATTAACCGGATAAACTGAAACTGGTGACCTGTAGTAGTTGGTGGCTGGACTGTATGAATGGAGCGGCGGTTGGGCAGGAGGTCGGCGGACGGCTTCTGCATAAGTCAGCGGTGCAGCCACTGATATTGGGGATGCGGTCGAAGGGAGAGCTTCGGCAACTTGCGTCTGAATAGCACGGCGAAGTGAGTGGTCCAGTGTTGTGGGCGTCTCGTTGATGGTGGCGACAAGAGAGAGCTGTCGAGCAACTTCCTCCCGGATGTACTGTTGAATTTGAGGCATTAACACGCTGTAGTCGGGGTCACTGCTTTTGCACTCCAAGGCCGAAACATCAGCTGTTTGCGTATTAGCGCGACGTGTAGAAACTCGTTGCTTGCGCAGCTCATCGAAACTTTGACATAACTGAATCACGGCCGTGAC